TGCCTCCTGGAGTCTTTCTTCAGAAGCCCCCCCAGAGGACCGGGACCAAGGCCCAGAGACCTCGCCCCCCCTTTCTTGGGGAGGTGGGGGAAGTACCAACCCCTTGAAGAAGTCGCGTTTGCTGAGTTTCCCTGAATGCACCAACTGATAGAGCAACTGGCCCAGGTGATCTCTGGTGATCTGGCTCCTCTCCAGGGTGGATTCCACGCCCACTTGCACAAATACCGGCAGGGCACCCAGCACATTCAGCTCCTCGACACACTGCATTGCCTCCTGTCCAGAGGAGACAAAAAGAGGAGGGAGGGAGGGAGGACTGCCTTTCTTATGGCTCTAGAACAGAAAGGAACAGGTGGTGCAGGGACCGAAAAGGATCCACGTACCCAAACGTGAGGTCAGGGAGAAGGACGGTCCCTTCGTACTGGCTGTGCCCCACCCCCGTTGCCAGAGACACACTTTTTCACTCTCTGTGGCAGGATGCCGGGCCTTTGGTCATGCGTGCGTGCGTGCGTAGCCGACACAGCATGGGGCATTACAGGGGCCAGGAACACTCTTATCCAGTGCAGGCAAAAATGCCAAGGCACGTGGAGCTACACAAGAGCCACACAACAAGCTGTTTGTTTTCCTTACCTTATAATCATTAATATGCAAGAATTCATCAATGATAGATTTGCACTTCCGCTCGATCTCCTCCTCTGACAACGCCGGCTTCTCTTGGGCAGGGGACGTGGTCACTTCAGGCTTAGCTGTTCAGGAAATGGGGAGGAAGGCCAGGAACAGAAAGGAAACCCTTCAAGAAGGGAAAGAAGGGAGAGGCAATCCCCAGAATCGGAGAGGCGGCAGCTTACACAGCCGGCCCTGTTCGTTTGGACACCGTCTCTGGGTTGCCTCCCGGTGCCCCCTTTATCCCGTGCCTTCTCTAGCAGTTTTTTTTTAAAAAAATAAAATTAAACACCGCTCGCCCTCCAAAACTTTGGACTTGCTAACAGCAACAGAAATGGAAGAATAGGAAAACCAGGCAGAGACCATAAGGAAGAGGCAGGCAGCTTCAGGTCACCGGGACACCCCACAAGCAAGGAGAGGTGGGGTCTGGGGTGGTGCTGTGGAGGATCAGGGCCCCCCTCCCTGGATACCAGCATTCTGATTCAGAAGCGGGAGCCTAAAAGGCACAGCCCTGAACCAGGGAGCACAAACTCAGGGGGAAACGAGCGAGGGCTCCCCCCCCTCCCCCGGAGGCTGCCCTCCGGCCCAGCCCAGCCCAGGGGCCGGCTCACCCGTCTCTTTGCCCTTGTGCCTCTCAGCCTCGGTGCTGTTCCGGTCACTCTCCAAGGCCGCCCCCGTCAGCTGCTTCACCGTCTCCAGCATCTCCCTCCGCTGCTCCTCTTGGGCCTGGTTGTCCAGGAGCTGCTCTTTGCTCCCGCCGACCCGCAAGAAGGTGTTCGGCCGGGACAGGGAGGAGGGGAGCAGCTTGTCGTTCTTCTCCCTACCCATGCTGCCGCGACTGGGGGAGGAGGAGGAGAGACACGTTCTATAAGGCCCAAGTTCTTGCTTACCCTGCCGCTCGCTGCTGTTCATAAGCATCGGAGGTATCCTTGGCGACAAAGCCCCCTTCCCTGAGAGAAAATTTTGCTCTTCAATGCCTGCTTCGTGAGGGCCCGCCTGACTCCCAAAGTTGGCTTCCTTTGCCCCCTACCCCCCCCCAA